CTTTATTTATTTGTCAAATTACATAGAAACCAACGCCGACCCAGCCCAATATTTTTTCTACTCGTAATAAATTCCTTGAAATAATAATTTCTGAATATTTTTTAAAACGTAACTCGCTGTAGAAAAAATATTGTTTTATACACGATGATAAAATTGCATTATCGTCTCCCGAAATTAATTCACTCGCGATTTCATCGCTCATGTATTAATCTTTTCGGTCGACGACAAAATACAATTTTATCGTCTTGTATAAAAAATAACTATTTAAACTTGACCAAAAATTTTTCCCTTGCGTTTTTTTGCATCTGAGCGTATAAATGAAAAAAAAATGATATCCGTTTCTTCATCTATTTTTAACTTGACTTTATCTCCTTAAACATCTCATTTTTTTAGGATTCAGATAACATCCCCAAGGAATCCCCAAGTCTTCTTCCGATTCTCTTCTTCTTCCTTCTTATTCCTTTGGATCCTTTTTCAGGGGGTGGGAGAATAAAAGACGAATTAATATGCAGCGAGCGTTCCCTGGGGGGCGTCGTTAACCGAAATAGAACGCCGGGGCCCCTCGATCTGTCGCCCCCTCTAGTGTGTAATTTGTAGGTTGAACGAAGACAACGAGTCATCGAGGGTGGATTTTTTTCCCGGCGATGGTAATGGTACAAAAGGGCAAATTGCTAAATTACCTAGCTAGGAACAGTTTATTAAAGTGTAAATTGGATCGATATAGTTAAGAGTGCTTTTAGAAGAGGTATGAAACAATCTTCATTTCGAAGGGGTGGAGTATAGAACTCATCAAAAATATATACTCCCAAGCACAAAATTCCGCTACCCTAAAAATTTGTCTAAGTTTGATGTTTCGTAACTTTTTATTTTGTAATCCGGTTTTTATGATTATGGTATCAGTGTGAAGATAAATTTATTGGCATTATTTTTTAGTATTTTAATGGCTTCTATTCTTCGGTTAAGTGGGTTTATTACGGGGTAAATCGAAACGTTGTTTTTTTTTGCAATAAATTCAAAACATTTGTGGAAAAAATGAGACGGGCATATATGATAAAAAACATTTTTCCGTAATCTTAGATGTATTCGTAACATTTGGTTATTCTGGTTAACAAAATGGTTATTCGACGATTTCCAATAATCATGGTATAGCCTCCCTCGCATATTTAGAAACTCTCTTTGTAGTTGGGTCCATTGTTGTCTATTGTTGGTTATGCGGACCCAAGTTATACCTGCTAATTTCCTAATATCATGGTCCCATGTCATGTTTGGTCTTCTTCTAGATCTTTTAATTCCTTGTGGTAATTTTTCATTTTCTGTCATTTAAAAATCATAAATTGTAGCCATTTTTGGTGAAACTGGAAATGACCAAAAACAATTCAATAGGTACGTCAATCAATTTTAATTTATGTCATATACTAACATATCAAATCTTGTTTTGTTATTTGAAAAAATATAAAAGTTATAGGGGTGAGCCGGTTATTATATCTTTAGCAATCCAAGTATGGAAATTTCAACAATATGGTAACCTAATCACTCATAAAACGCTCCAATGCAGATATTGTAAGTGGACAAGTTCATGCTTGACTGCACCCGACTTCTTCACGTTAGCTCGATTCTATATAGTATATTAAGCTCAGTAGTTTTAGGATTTAGATTAGTTCGTACCAGTGGCGGACCAAGCCTGTCGGGGGCCCGGGGCGGCGAAGTTAATGTGTGGTCCCCGGTCTCTTCCGATAAATAATTATATACTTCTAATGCACATTTTGTAAAAATTGAATGACGTATGTATAATGGTTGTAACTACAGTATCTAGATGAGAGATTTTGTGCATATAATTGTTTCACAACGAGATTTATCGATTAAAAATAGTTTCAATATGGTGGCACTTCCGGAAGTTGACAGAAACTTACATTCTCTGTAAAATTTTATGAATTTTGATGTTAAACACTCTATACCTAACGTTAACCGTTTTTGAGAAAAAAAAATATTTATAATTTTTGGAGAAAAAAAACTGTCTGTCAAAAATATGTATATAGCCTAAACGTCATATTTAGTGATTGCTACAGCTACTGAACCATAAAGAGAAGACATGTGGCTATCTATTTCAAAAATTAAATTGTCCGAATGTCATATAATCATGGCCGCAGCTGTCATGGAATTGAGCGATTAAAAAATTATCATAAATCATTTTTTTCAAATGGAAATCCACTTTTTTTATTTCACTCGTGAAAAGTCTTTCTTTACTTTCGTTTTTAAAATTTGTTACTTTTTGATTATACATGTTCCTGTACCTAAAATAAATTGTTTTTAAGTTATTTAAGATTTAGCTTTAAAGCGTATATTTTTCTTGAGTTTAACCAGTAGAGGTTAGTCTGTGCCAGTAGCCTGACAGTATATTATAGATCACCATTTCCAAGCCAACTTTGCGCTGTTTTTTTTCGGTATTAATAAATAATCATACGGTATATTGACAGATGATGGAAATAAATTGTCTGACCGTTTGACACTTAGTATCAAAGGAAGCTAGATAAAATCAAGAAAAATATACATTTTCAAACTAAATTTTAAATAACTTAAAAACGATTTATTTTAAGTATAGGAATATGTACAGTTAAAACGTAATGAATTGAAAAACCTTTTTACTAGTGAAATAAAAAAGTGGGTTTCCATTTGAAAAAAATGATTTATGATAATTTTTTAATCGCTCAATTCCATGACAGCTACCGCCTTTATTATATGAGATTTGAACAATTTAATTTTTGAAATAGATAGCCACTTGTCTTTTCTTTATGTTACAGTGGCTGTGATAATCACTTAATTTGACTTTTAGGCTGTACACATTTTTTGGACAGGTAGCTTTTTTCGTCCAAAAATTTTAAATATTTTTTCTTAAAAATGATTGCAGATTGTTTAACATCAATATTCATAGAATTTTACAGAGAATTTAAGTATGTAATGAAAAATAGGGAGGCACCCATTTAAAATAAGAAAGTTGCTGTCAACTTCCGGTATTTCCGAAGTACCGCCATGTTGAAAATATTTTTAATCAATACGTCTTGTTGTAAAACAATGATGTGCAAAAAAACCTTCGATCTAGATATTGTGGTTCTCTAGAAAATTTCAATGGACGCTCAGCCTGGGACACCCTGTACACTGTAATAATTATAATAAAAGTCAATATAGATATAAATATGTTCAGTATGTACTCATCAGTAGTGCCGTTTTTATGTAGGGACCTGATGGGCGCTAGCCCCCAGAGTATTAAGGGGTATTTTGTAAGTCCTCCAAGATCCGAGGGGCCCCTTCGCTGTCTCAGGCCCGTGGCCCCCGTTATACTAAAGACGGCACTACTCATGATCGGTAAAGAAGTTAGAATATAAGTTATGGTGTGCATTGATTGTAATTTAAAATCTTTATTCAGTAAAAATAAATAATGAAACCATTGAAAAATAACTTAAAAGCTAAAATAAATAAATTCAGTCCCAAAATATATAAAAAATAATAATTATTCGATATTTTAAACAAAGAAAATTACCCCTTAATTTAATTTCCTAAACAGAAAATGCCATTGACAATTGCTGGGGCCTGATAATTGATAATTAAGTAAATATCTGCTTCCATTTATACTGTTTATAATTTGCGTATACGTATGGTTTGCATACTCCACCAACAAACTGCTTCATAACTACTGAACACATATTGGCCTTGTTTGCCAGTTGAATAAAAAAATACTTATTAAAATTCGGAGGCCCCCTAAAAGAAGGGGCCCGGGGCGGACCGCCCCTTCCGTCCCCCCTTAGTCCGCCACTGGTTCGTACTTGAAAACGGTCAGTGATTATTCTGACCGAAACGTTGTATAAGAAAAATAAATAAAGACAATGGAAGTCCCAAATTCTTTTCGTTTCAAGAAACGAGAGAATAAATTTTATGTCGCTGAGACAGCCTGGCAAATGTGCGTTTGTTCCTTGAATTAGGCAATGACAGACCATTGGCAAAGAGCTACATTTTTAAGAGGTTTCAGTTTCCAAATTGCTAGACTTTTAAAAATGATGAGACTGGCGAATGTAACCTAATGATCAGAAGAGGACTACATTAGATCTGAAAAGGTTGCAGTGGAACAAGCTGATAACCACGTCAAAAGTCTAATCTATATCTGCCAATCGAGCACAGCCGTACCGTTCTTTTCTCGAAGGTATTAGCGGCACTTTTCACCACCCTGTAACTTCGTCGTGGATAAAGCAACAATATTAATTTTTACTACACATGAAGACATGCTATAGCTGGCTAGATTACCAAAATATCTAGTAATTATACCTCATAGTTTATGAATTATCGTTTGTCAAATTTCTTTAATTTCGACATTGACTCACTGACTCATCATCAAAATTCTAAGGGGTTACAAACTTCCAATTTTGATTTTTAGGTAGCTTTAAGCTTGTAACCAAAGGAAAAAATGAAAATTATCAAAATATTCTTATGGATTCAAAGTTAGCTGTCTAGCTGCTAACGGTAATTGACTTTCCAGTCGAGAAAAAAGTATAAAACTGGAGTTAACTTGGCAAATGCACGGTATGATACTCTACACTAATTATTTTATTTTATTTTTAAGGGCACTGTTTAGATTTACTTAGTAATCGAAATGGTAGATTATTCTTTTATAATTATGGCGCTGTGTAATTGCCAAGTCATTAAAATTATTACAGAAATAAAGATGACTAATATTGATACTAACAATTTGTAACAAAATTGTTGAATAGGTGCTTAAAGAGAAACTAAATAAAATAAAGTGACTTGGTTTTACATGAGATCTCACGATTTTTTATAGTGGAAGAATTTTGTTGCGAGACTTGGCATTTTTTACATTCTATGTTTTTGAAGGGATATAATCTACAGATTTCCAATCAAGATCCTTCTGAGTTTTTCGACACAATCCGACATCACTGTCCTCCTCTACTTCTCATCTCTTCCTCGTTCAGTCGTCGCATGCTCGCCAGCAGGATCGGACCGTTCCATCCAGCCTCAGCAGGAATACAGCGGCGCATCGGGCAGGAGCATCGCCGTCGCTTATCGCAGGATCCTCCGTCAGTCCTCTGGAATAACTCGAAGCGTCGGGACGCCGCGGAGTATAGCGTCGCGGAGACAAGACAGCGTGTCTCGTGAGTAGCGTCGTTCGTGACGTAGCCGTCATCGGTATACTGTTGTTTTTCGGGTTTTGATTTTTTTTGTGGTGATCTGTTTGGATGAAAGAGTGCAGAAAGTGTGGACTATGTTTCTGTAAGTAGATTTTGTACAAAATGGTAGAAATTGAGATGTTTTGCTGTTTAAATTTTCTCCTGTAACTCTTTGGTTTTACGAAGTGGCATATCTGGATTACTAATATACTCACCGGCACGAAAAACGGGCACCTTAAAATTTTCATGTGTCTTAAAGTAAATAAAGCTATTGAGATGAACCAAAAAATAAACTATCGAGAAGAGATGCACATGATCATTTTTGACTTAGAAAGACATACTAAACATTCAAACAATTTAACTACAAATTGCTATAAATATCATCAAAATCGGTCCATTAGAACACAATATAAAAAACTTAAAAAATATCAAAATTTTAAGGTGTCCGTTTTTCGTGCCGGTGAGTTTGAAACTCATTATCTTTAAAACGAAGCTGACTGTGCTGCTTTAAAACAAATACTTTTTTGTTTTTTACCTCTTCTATAGAATTTTGAAAATGCTAGTTAGGCCTTTTTGCAAGGAAGGCGACGCTTGGTTTAGATAAATTCAAGGATTGACATGTAATTCCCTTATTTATTGACAATCTATGATTTTAATGTAGTGTACAATTTGTGTGTCTCATCGTTTTTGATCCTAGTTCTACAGGGTGTCACCAAAAAAAAGTTACACACCAAAGTTGTGTTTTCTGTAATGGAATAAACTGTATATTAATCAATTTTCGGGTTTTAGGAGAAAAATAATGGTTGTGAGTTATATGACTAAAATGTAAGGTTTTTGACATACATATTTAACATTTTCTAAAAATGAAGAACAAATTTTAAACTTCAATAAAAGCTACCTAAATTGGAATTTACCCGGTATAACCTAATATGTAGTTAAAATAACTTTTGCACCTTAATTCAAATTAAAACCCAATAAGTTATACAGGGTGAGACAAAATTATTTTTGAACATTGGTCACCTTTAAAAGCAAGTTACACATATGTCAAAACCCTTACGTTTTAGGCATATGCGTCTTTAATGAACCTCACCTTTATTTTTTTCCTATGATCCGAAAATAAATTATTTATACGCCCTATATTATTATATAGGGCGTTCCATTGCAAAAAATTGTAGAATTCTATATATTTTTATAAAATACTTTCAATTAACCTACATACATATGATATGCTCCGAAAATTTTATTTTAATATAAACTACACTTCTCCTTGGAGCCTCCTCGTGGAACGAGAAGCTCAACCCTATAGATATCAGAGAAATTACAAAAGTGTACAGGGTGGGTCAAGTTGGACGATTTTATAGGAAAACACCCTTTTCTATAGGAGATAGACGAAAACTAATATCGGTGTCTGGAGTTCAATTTTGATCAAAAACATGATGGTAGAAACCGCACATCGATATTTGTTACCGTTTCGGAGTTACGGGGTGTTTTTCAAAAATGTGCATTTTAAACAAATCGCTGTTACTTGGCCGAAAACGAAATACTCCGACCCAAGGGGCACCTACCCCAGTATCCTTTAGGCAGAAATTTACACTATCGAAAGATGCGTACAATTTATCTTAGATCGAAACAGGAAATTGCCATCCTATTCGATAGGCAAGCAGCACTTAACGCGATCAACTCAGTAACCATCAATTCGAAGTTGGCTAAAGAATGCCTAGAGAAGCTCAACAAATTAGGCAAAGAAAATAAAGTCCTCCTACTCTGGGTTGTGATGATCTAGCTAGGAAAGGAGCGAACACTCCACTAACTGGACCAGAACCGTTCTGTTTTCTAAACGGGAACCAACTGAAAGCGGAACTGAAGAATCTGGAAGACTCCATCCGTAACTTGGAATGGAAAAAGTTCCTCAGAACTTACGACCGAGAAAAATCAAAGGTTTTCCTTGATTTAAGTAAAAACAATCTTCGGATTGTTACGGGGTTTCTAACAGGACACTGTCTCCTCAACGAACACCTCAGTAGGCTGAAGCTGAGAAACAACGGCGAATGCAGATTTTGTGGGGAAAATGGGAAAACACCAAAACACCTTATTACTGAGTGCGCCGAGACGACGACCATTCGTGCCATGAACTTTGGTACATCTGATGTCGAGGATGGAGAGCTGGCCTCTGTGGAGCCGTCTCAGATACTGGCTTTTACTAAAGTCCTGAGACTGTATGATGAGTTATAACTCGTTATAACTCAAGAAAGGGGAACACACAATAGATCTATAAGGTCACGGTGATTAACTCCCCTCCTAAACTTTCTACATTCTACATTCTACTTTTTCGGTTTTGGGCCGCTTATTGTTGATCTGTCCCTAATGGAACTCGAAAACATATTTTTCCACTGACACAAGACGAGGCACCGTCTCAGAACGCTGAAGTTCTCAGCAAATTTTTGCAGCCAATTTCGAGAATAATTTAATAGCTAACCAATTAAGCCGTTGCAATCCCAGCCGTTTGCTGTCGAGGCCGTCGAAGCCGCCGGACTTGAAGTTTTGGTCTTCTTTACACATGTGTTGGTGGAATTACAATTTTTCTTCATTGGTTTTCTACCGATTTCCTTTTGTCTGAAGCCACAATTAAAGCATCGTTTTAAGCAATGTTTCAGTTACTAAGTGGTCACAAGTTACTTGGTCACAAGTTCAAAATACTCGAGATAGTGCTGGACGAAGCTGGTACTAAAGCATTAGTCAGTCACAAGTAATAGCACGCAGAAAGGAAATTCGAACGCCTATGGATTTTTATCTTTGCGGAAGAATAAAGGTTCTTATTTTCTTATTTTTAAATTGCCTATATAATCTAGACAAGAATTAGAAATACTTAGCGGTTATGCAAGGGTATCTCACCCCCACTGAGTTAATGAATTCAGCGAAAAATGTTCAAAAACGGTCCCGTCTGTCCATAACAAAAGACGGTCGACATGTGGAACACCTATAGCGATATCTCATGTCTTGGTTTTGCTATTTATTTTTATTGTTATTAGATATAGCTTAAATGTGTTGATGTTGTTCAATATAGCTTAAATTGTTACAAAATTCTGCATTTCTCAATGCAAATATTATTTTCGTTTTAATTGCTGCTCACTAAGGCTAGAATTTTTTTGCATTATAACTCGCGCGCAGCAAAGCCTCTGTATTCAAAGTGGGCGAATTTTTAAAAACTCTATATCTCCAAGAGGAATCCAGCAAAATACCAAGTATGCTATATTTTTGAAAAGGTAATTTTAAATTCCTTTCAGTGAATTAAAAATATACAGGGTGTCTTACATAAAAAATCAAATTTTCTGTTGATAATTCTTAAATTATTAATTTAAAAAAATCACACTTAAACCATTAAATTCTACGTAATAAGATGCTTTGGAAATATTTTTATAAAAATATCAAATTTTCCATGGCAAAAAAATTACAGTGATTTGTTAAAAATGTACATTTTTCAAAAATCGATGTGCGGTTTTCACCATCATGTTTTTGATAAAAATTGAGCTCCAGAGACTGATATTAGTTTAAGTCTATCTCTTATAGAAAAGGGTGTTTCCCTTTAAAAGCGTCCAATTTGGCATACCCTGTACAGTACTGTACCTAAATCACGAAATAAAGTTTTCTTTAACTAATTTGAATATTTTTAAGTATATAAAAAGTAAATCGTGAGAGTAAGCCCGTGGTTACATTCATTGAATGCGAGTCCGTGCGTTTTTTTTTGGTCGTCCTCGGACGTACACGCAGCAAAAAAACAAAAAATGGTATCTACGCAGGCGGTTACATTGCATCCGAGTTTGCGCGTCCGTGCACGTACGTCAATTTCCGTTGGTCGGATGGAAACAAACTAGTTTGTTTTTTTAATACGTGTACGTCCGAGCGTTCGATTTTTTGTTCTCTGGGTCCAATACATTCCCGAAAAATTTGAATATTTTTTAATACCAGGTTTATTTTTATTTAGGATATATTAATGTTGATGGGAAACATTCTAAAATATTCAAAAAAAATTGACCGGTTGGTGTCTTAATTCACCAAATGCTTTACATATTCATTTTTTCTCCTCTTCTTGTATATGTCGTAGTCTCATAGTGTATTCCGTCTTTTCATGAAGATCCTAGTCACTTTATGAAAAAATCTAACCTAATAACATAGTATAAGGAAACTAGTAGTTTTACTCCTTGTCAAATCCTTTGTTCTTTTTCTGCCACTTTATATGACCTTGTTCTCGCCTCCGTAGCCGACGACGTAGCTGTATAGTCGTGGTCTATTAACTAGGCAAAGTATAGACGTAGTACTCGCCATATTTTTATATTATTATCTATTTCAGAGATTTTCTACGACTTTTTTTTATTTAAAGCAAGTTTAATTTTCTGTAGATAACTGGATTCGGCATAAAATTATGCTATAGTACACTGACTTTATTTAAAGCACACTGCGGTGTTGCCAATCTATTTCTTATTTACTAAAAAACTTTGGTTAAAAACATTATATACGAAAAGTGGTAAAAAACTAGAGTGAATATAACTTTATTAATACTGCTATGTTTTCTTAAACATGAAGGATATCGGAATAAATTCGTCTTAGAAAAATTTACTTTATCTATACAGGATATTTTTATGGCGTCACCAAAATCGTAATATTTAAAAAATGTTATATCTCATTTTTTTAAATGCAACATCTTGTATATTATTTTTCTTTCGGATGTAGAATTAAAAGGTGAACATTTTTTGACAAGACAAAATAGACAAAGATCATATTAGGTGGCTTTGAAAAAAATTTACTGTTGAAAGAGCCATATGTAATATAATACTGCGAATATCTGCGACAGCGGTAAAAATTTAGAAACACTTTAAATTAATAAAAAAATGTTAACATAACAAAATAATAATTAAAAATAATAACATTTAATTAATTTCATAATATCTCAGCTTCTAAAATAAACAAATATAATTAAATGTTAATTGATAATTACTATCAGCTTTCCGATTTACATCCGATGGAAATCTAAAAAGACTCAAAGAACAATTTTTTGAATTATTTCCACAATTAATAGCAGCGCACAGTAAGGCACTCATTTTTTGT